ACTTAGCGTAAATGGTCCAATCGGATTATCAGGTGCTCTTATAGATAATCGAATTTAGATTAAATATAACAATAATTATTGTGTTGCAAGCGGATATTAAAATTTTTATATAGTTGTTTTGATTACTCAGCTTTGTAAATACAAAAAATCTTATATACTTTTGCTCTGTTTGTTTTATAAATTTAAGTAGTAAAAAACTAGAGAAACTTGAACAGAAACTGATGTGATAACGTTATAGTATGGACAAAACGACTATTTATTTGAATGATGTAAGCAGCAGATTTGTTTCACTTGTTTGTATATGCGCTAATACCAATTTGTTCTCAATTCAGCAGTCGCGGAAAAATGTTGATCTGCAGAATTGTATTTGCTACCATCGACCAAATTAATTTGACTTTTTAAATTTATATAATATTAATTGAAAAGCATGATGATTTTTGATAGTTCGCTCGAGGTTTCCTACGATCTTAATTTAAAGGTTATATTCGTAATCTGCCATACTTGAAAAGAGCACTAAGATAGTATCATATCAGTATCAGCATTCACTGGGGCACAAGACCAAGTTGCCTTGCATAAATTCTAAAATAACAGTCAGATTCATGACGTAGCAAGTCGACAGCCATGAATCGCCCAAATCTGTAGAGGCCACATTATACTGGAAAACAGTCCCAGAGAACCGCCGAAGCCATCATGAAGCGTGGTTGAACGTCGATTCTGGTATCCTGCAGTTCTATAACTGGAGCAAAAGTTCTCTCTGGTCAATTTGTGTTCAATTAGAGGGAAATGAGTCCCACATGGTAGATCCAAAAAGCCTAAAAAACCAAATTCCTGATTTGTCTGAATTTGTTGAATTAATTCCAACTTTTATCATATTGTATAGCACTCTTTTACTTCTGATATACCAGCATTTTGTAAAAGTTTACAATAATAAGCATTTTATTGCCAAAATAAACCATAATATTTTGTTGCAAGGATACCAATTGAGGACTAGATCATCAATCTAGCGTCCAATCCACTCCGGCCTTTGATATCATTATAACAACGTCAAAACTGAAGGAAGCTACACCCATGAGGAGAATCCCTAATCTAGGTACCTAAATAACAAAAACACGTCTATCCCCTTAACATGTGATGTAATAATTCAGCTAATAATGAGAATCTACCTTTCTAAACTCTTCAGAAACAGATTTTTAGATTACCTGGGTCCTAGGGAAAATCCCCAACGCCGAACCACCCCTAACCTGTTTGAACAGCATGCATCAGCTGTTGTTGGGTCTGACCTATCCTAACAAATCTCATTGTTCGTTCTCGGTGCCAAGCGACTACAATAAACCCTCCGGAGTCAGGTGTGCCCACCAACTGTCTCCGACACACTACTTTATCATTGTTTAATTTAAATTACAAGGCTTGTAGCTGCAGAGATAACAAATTTGAAATTCTTAAAAAAAAAGGAAAAAGTTCTTGGAACGGAACAAGTTCTATAGTTGCGAGTGGAAAAATTAACAAAAGGATGCGCCAAGGGTAAAAAGGTGATGGTAAGTGCAGTGAACGACTTTTCAGTCATTAAGCTGGCAACAATTAGGTACTTGTTAAAACATTTTCATTTTGTTTAAAATTATTGTAACGCTTTTTTGTTATTATCTTTTTTGTTCTTTCACATTACTTTGAACAATGCTACGTAGGTATCTACTTATGTCAATTCAAGTCAATTTCAAAAATATTCCTAAATTCTGATCTATCATTTACTCCACGGACATGTCATCAAAAATTTAAGGTATTGTATTTTGTATATAATTTAATACCCACTAACAGTATGATACCACGTACCTTTAAAAGAAAATTTCTTGAAATAGCAGTCCATAAAATGCAGAAATATATTAATTATACAGTGGCTGAATTTTCTCCTCTGTCAAAAGTGCTTCTGTAGCCGTTAAACACGAGAAATATGACATAATTACAACATTGGTTAATGACTAATATGTCAGATATGTGTTTTATTCATTAGAACTGTCTAAATAGACTATTTTTGGATAATTATTACTAATGATTGATTTGTTTGTGGAGTGGTATCTTTAGTACCTACACTTAGACATTTGTTATCAAATAGTAAACATAACTTTATTTAACGAGAATTTCGGAATTAATTTGAATTTGCTTATTAAACCTTAACTTTGTACACAGTTTTTTGTGCATACCCTGTAAAACCAGCCATGTTGCAGTACCGAACCCATAATTAAACGCCTGAAAATAAGGAATAGAGTCATGTATCAGTTAATGAGATTATCTGCTAAGTAAATCTTATCTCTTTGGTCACGATATACCACTGGCAGGTAATGCTATAGTCTACGGTTTGTGTATTGGTATAAAAAAACTAGTTTACCTAGAAGCAAAGGTGTTTCGTAAACGTATTCATAAATATAGGTATAGGAAAAGAACTTCATCGTGCCAACAAAAGGAAAACCAATCAATAAATATGTTTACAACTACGTTTTAATTACTTTTCAGTATAGATTGTTATGTTCAATTATTTCTACGATTATATTATGTAAATTTTGAATATAATTATTTTTAGTGCAATAACCTTTTCAATGTCGGCACCGGATAAACACATCTGTTTCATATACTTTTTATTAATGGAATAGCTATTTTTTTTCTTCTAAATATAAAAAAAATGTTTCTCTTCGTGGTTTTAATAGTTTTGTTAATAATGAGGAAAAGGCAGGTACCTATTATGTAATACAACAAAGGCCTTGAACTATATTCGAATCTATTCTCTAACTATGTAACCGTGTGTTAAGCTGGGTTTCATCGTTTGTTCGATGTTTGTATTACCTGCAAAATTTATAACACTTAGAGAAATTGGAATTTTCAACATCTGTAACGACATTGCTAAAATCATTTCTACTACATCTGTGCCTACCATTAAAAATCTAAAATCTAAAATCGGAAGAGTTTTGAATAAAATATCATCTGTTGAACCAAATTTGCCTAGTTTGCGATGGCAATTTAGATAAAAAGAATATTTACTATATGTATAGTACGAGAATTAAAAAGTAGTATTTCCGTAAAGATTTATTTTGGGAAAATGATATTTTACGTTACCTTATAGATAATTTTACTGATAAAACAATAAGCTTACACTAAAGATTATCATCAATGTTAATACAGAAACAACAAAAATATTTCCATGTCATCAATATTAATAACTTTCTTTCATTTATCTATAGGAATATTAATCCCTACTGCCAATAAATGCGAGAGAAGTTGTAGCAGTATACCTCATTTGATCTGTGGTTTTCTGAAATATTCTTTATATCAATATAACCCAATAATAATCACTTGGGTTGTCTATAACAGTTAAACATTTCGCATAAACACTTTTTATTTAAAATCCATCTAAACAACTAGATTTGTTCTTAGATTCTCAGGAAATTTCTGAAATGGAGCCACAAAGAATATTAGTTTTTTCAAATTTGGAAATCACACATGGAAAAGAACATCATTATAAACATTTTATTGGAGAGTAATAGTACCATAATTTACGGCTATGTTCATGAGAGAAAACTGTTTCAATTAACATTTAAATTTAAATAATTCCTTATTCAAAAAGTAAGAAACCGTATAAATGCTCATCATTATTTCTAGCAACAGATTTTTGTCACCACTAAATTGCAAGTGCAATTTGCAAAATTCAACAGTTTGTGATAAATAACGCAGTTTTCTTTTTTACCTCCATCTCCACCAGTACCACTGTATTAACATGTTGTACCGTTAAAATGTTCTTTTAGATTGTATACATATATTTAAAAACAATTTATAAATATAGACCTTATGTTCTAAGAAGGGGGCGACATTTGTTATGTCCTATATTTATCTACAGGTTGTTTTATGGTTCTGCTGAAGCTTTTCAAGCCTCACCAAAAAATTGTACGTTCAAAAATACTAAAAACGCATACACATGAAAATGCTTCTTATAGTAACTACAACCCTTGAGATGTGGAAGGAAATAATTGAAAGAATTTCTCACGTTCTTAAACACTCTATCTGAATTTTTGCAAATTTGACATAAACTGGTTAAATTCCATTGCTTTTAAATTATCCATGCCAAATTTCATTAATAAGTAAAGCTAAATGTCGGAGTTATTCCGTTTTCAAAAATGACTTGCATCCCTCAATTTTTTTCGAAAATTGATAATGACTTGAACTGTCACATTTTGGCTCATAGTACCTTATATGAAATTAGTCTAGATTTTACCGTAGAATTAAATAATGCAAAAATGTACAGAGTGTTCCATTTGAAATAACAGAGTTGATGATGACTTCCGGTATAACCGGAAGTGCGAGAAAGCTGACACTATTTTCATTGAATAGATCTTTTTGAAAAACCCCTGTATACAAATTTTCACATTCAATTCTGTCTACTTTTTGAGAAAATCCTACTGAGCCCTCTTCGTGATACACCCTGTATATGACCTCGCTAATTTGGTATGACAAATACTAGATTTTTCGACGCAGACGATACTAGAACTATTACTTCTATTTACCAATAAGTTTCATATCTGTGGGTAATAAACAGTGCGCATTTAGGTTAAGTGCAACATCATTAATAAGAATTACGAATAAGAGTAGGACCGAGTAGGAGCCCTGCGGTACTTCAAGCTTCATGATGTACCTACTGAACTTGTATATGAATACTAGTTGTTGCAAGTGTTGCAACTCAAATTTTTTACATCAAATTGAAAGACTTGAGAGTAGTTATCCCCAAGTTTTCTTAAAAGTTCTTATAGTTCAGTTTTGAAGCTAACAGTTGAACTTTCTTCTTCTCTTTTTGGATATTTACTTCCTAATAGATAGCTTTGTCGTACACGGAAACGCGTTGAACATCTCTAAATTGGAACTTGGCTACGCCTATTTCTTTACAGTAACGCCGTTGGTGCGCACCTATTAGGCACGACCTCCGGTAAATAGACAGAAATAAAAAGAACGATAACTTTACTCACCCTGTGCGGAGACTTGAGCAACCGGTGTATGGCAGCCAGCTGGTTGATGAGCGGCAGCGTGACGCTGAAAGTGTGCAGCGGAGGCCTCGCCGGATCCGGGAAGTTGGTAGTGTAAGAGAACGGATCGATGTCGTTCAGATACTGAACCCGGCATGTCAGCGACATCGTGCATACACACACCTCACAGAACAATACATAAATATTATTACTACTTCACCCCACAGATCACACAGAGTCAGTTCCAATGGTTCACGACGGCCGATAATTGACGCTTGTCACATGTTGAATGAAGGACACCTAATTGCAAAGGATTTCTTATTAGTTTAAGCGCAGGGTGCGGGCGCGTTGAACTTCCTTGGGGGATTCTATGAAGAAACGTGGCAGGTCTCGTCGTCTAAGGCCCTGTCCAGATCTACGGACATTGTGCACATGTTCAATTAAATGAGCCTTTAAATCGCAATTATTGACATTAGTTAGTTTGAGGTATATAATAACAATAAGTGACTGTAATTTTTTTTTCAGCCTCCGGTCAGAAAAGATATAATAAAGGGTTTTTTCAAACTCAAAAGGGGTAAGAGCTAGAAAAAAAAGTTTCTTATAAAAGTTGTACAGCATCAAATTCTACATAAAAATAACCTATTGACTTTTTCTTGTACTATTAAAATTAACAGAGTTAGGGAGACTAGAAGTTAAGGTAAGAATTCAGAAATTTAAGAAATCATAACAAGCAGAAAAATGAATTAATTTTATATATTTTTTTCAGTCTACTCTAAAAAATGTAAACTAGCTTTTCAGATAAATAGATAGGTACATTTATTAATTTTTAATAAAAAAGTTATAACAATTTCACAAAGCGAACGTGATTTTCTACCTTCGTAAATCAACATTTCTAAAGCAACTTTTCATTATTTTAAATAATCAATCGAATGGCATAAAAATAAATTGTTTTAGTGTTAAATCATAAAAATTAACGATTAAAAAATTAAAATTTCTCTAGCTATTACCCCTTTTGAGTTATCTTGAAAAATCCCTTTATTTTATCTTTTTTCACCCCTGGCCAGGGGTTGAAAAATAATTACTATCCCGTATTGTTATTATATACCTCAAAGTTACATAAAAAATTCAGGCAAGTTGACCAAAATTGTGATTTAAAGACCCATTTAATTGGACTATGCCCATGAACAAGACCAAAAGTTAATGACATGTTTTTGCTTGCACCTGAACAAAAGTTTAATTGCAGTCTGTCTATATCGGAAATTATTATTCATTGTGAAGCAGCTGTAGGAAACTACGTATTTCAGGATTAAAGAAGGAGACATTGTAGAATGACTTTTTCGTACCGAGATACAACATAATAAATGTTAAGAGAGTTGAAAACAAATAACGAGGCAGAATTCCATTTTTTTTTTTTAAATAACGCTCAATGATTTCGAAACTTTAATTGAAAAGATCGGCCCATACAAAATACAAACTTTAGAATTGCAATACTTTGAATTTACTCATGTTTGTGAACAAACATATCCACACTGGTTGTAGTAGGAAAATGAACAGACGCATTTACATATACGTTTTTACACAATGACTTCTATACATGTTTTCGTATGTAGATCTGGACCAGGCTTAATAATTATTTAAGTCGGATGTATCTGTTAAAAGATAAAATATCGGGATTTCGGTAGATCAAAACTCAGGAAAATCTACCCATCCGTTATTTTTTTAATCAAGGAAGACTTTTATAGGAGGATATATTGACAGAGCCAATTTCGTGATAGGTACAGGGTGTCCCAAAACTCAATGCTGTCCCATGACTAGCCAGAATAACTAAATTCAACCACATTTTTCTCTCAGTTTTCGACATATAGGCACTTTTTAAATTCATGAAAATCACTACACAAAGTAAATATTTCGAATGCCACAGCTACAAAATTAAATATTTTGTGACTCCGTTTTTAGCTAAATATTGCAAAGAAATATTGCTATAGTTTTTTCGAAGTCAGTTGACATGTATAAAAACGCCTAGTAATAATAAGTTTCTTAGGCGCCCCTAAAAAAGTTTTCTGCTAAAGATAAAAAATTATAATAATTTGTATATAATATGTAGAAAATTTCTAATGTATGTTCATTTGGTCCTTAAACAATTTTATTATATTGATGGTAAATTTAGTTTTGTTTCGTTTCAAAAGGTCTCCAAAATGCCATGTTGTAATAATATTAGTAAACAAAATATCCCTCTTATTTCTCCCTTTTGCAATTTTAATATGAATGATTAATAGAAGGTGCCTATCTCGTAGGCAATTTATCAACCACTTATCAACAACTGAGATTTATTGCCCAGTCGCCCAGTGCAGCTGTGTTATACGCCGTTTACCCCGCGCGCGCATTCTTCAACTGGGCGTATACATTTCTACCACCTCCATGTTTAGTTCGACCAGACATGTATATGGATATGACTAATAAATTTGGGAACACGTTTTTCAATGCCATACATGCCATACATACTGCTAGCCTCTTGGTTCTTCAATTGAGATCGGAAAGACTATATAATGATAATTTTCTGTACTTTCACGATTGTCGATGTCAAGAAATGTTCTATATCAAACTGGCTCTGTATTAAAAAATACGCAACCTTTTTCTACCAAAGATGCTCATTTTGACTTTATTCTGATATTAAATTTCAATGAAAATGTTGTGCACAGTTATTATTATTATTATTATTATTTGTAATTGCAGTTTATTCTTCTTTTACTTCTATTTACAGTATTTTGAACAATTTAGGGATAATAAATTCAACAAATCAATTAACCGTGAAAATAGGATGATATGAGGTCATTTAAGAAACCATAAAATCGTGGAAAAAATTGTGAGAAAGTCGTGTAGTACCTAAAGGAAACTCTTTTGTCGGTTTTGATAGCAAGATTCTTCTGTAGCCAATATTTAACAAAAAAAAAAAACAGTACAAAATGCTTTACAGTCATATGAGGTGAAGAGTAAACCTCGGAATGAAAGATAATAAGCTATAAAATTGTATAAATCTTTATTTTTACATTTTATAAGTTGGCTCAAATGTCTCATAGGATCTCATGTAAGCGAGTCAAGATATTCAAGGTCAAAGGTCACAAAGCCCGTTTTTTGTAAATATCTTGTTTTCTTCCCCTAAATTACATTTGGAGTTATTAGAAAAGTTGTACAGCATAAAATTCACTACAAATATGACTGGACTATTATATTTAAAAAAAAATACGTTTACTAAGGTCGAATTTAGTGATTCTGATCAGTCATGGGTAAGCCCACCCATCACCCCCTTACCGATATGACATTGACTTTTGAAACACCTGTATTGAAATATAGTATACGGTTAAATGGAGAAGTTTTGAGACTATTCTATTACTAATTTAATTCTTTCCGTTTTCAAGATGCTTTAAGTAAACAAGAAATGTTTTTGCAAAAATCTGCTGTAATATTTTTACGTTTTAGCTCAATGGAACCACCATTTTGGAGATACACTATATCACAATATTTAAAACCGATGCCTTCTTTTTTAAGATGGATTGTAACACTGAGACTAGATAATTTTAATTACTTTGACAACAAAACCAAACATTTGTGCTGTATAGCAAAATGCTTTATTAATAGTTTTGATTTACTGGAGAGATGTCATATTTCTTCATAGAGATACGCAGAAGAACTATTCTTTCTTCAACTACTGGGCACACACGGTATGGCATACTGGTGGTTTCTGCATTCGCCGTATAATTCTAAATGACTGCCAATCAGTGATGATTTAAAATAACTTTTGCTTTCATGATTCTATTGAAATTGTATGGTAATTGCGCATTTTATTGACACTGTTTTATAACATTGTGCTTTAACTGCTGAAGGTTTTATTACGGATCGTTTGAAAAATTGCGAAAAAACATAAATCAGATAGCGTATAAATTCGTACCAGTGGTAAATACGTTCCAGACACATACCTACATGAGATGTTGGAAAACTATAAACTTGGATCAGTGTCTCACAGATTTTCCAAGATATTTAATATTGCTTTCTCGAGCAACTAATATTATTACTGACAACCAGCATGGATTTTGTGTAAGCAAATCTACGACTGCAGCTGTACATTCATACGAAAAATTTATATACTTTTTTGACGAATTTTTTTCGATATTAGAACATTTTTTTAATAACCGATTGCCTCACTCCCATAGTAGCTGCAACTTGAACTTGATTATAACCCTCTTGAAGGAGAGTACCTACGACGCGAGAAAAAATGTTTCTAATAACGAAAAAAATTCGAGTTTCCAGAAAGAAGTTTTTGGGTTAGTTTAAAAAAAAACTGTTTATTTCAAGAAAACTTATGTAAACGATTTAAACTTAAAAAACAAATAACCAAAATTAATTTTTTTTGGGCTATTGTGAAGCATTGCGGATATGACAAACAATTTTTGAAAAAAAAAGTTTTAATTTTTTTACAATATACCTAATTAATGGTTGCATCTTCAACAAAAAAATTAATAATAAGTGAAAAACTGTTTGTTACATTAATGTTCAGCAAAAACAATAAATTTAAACATGCAGGGCACTAGGAAAAAAAATTGCAACGCTTTGAAACTATCAGCGTTTCTTTAGGACACTTTAAGGTTGAAAAGTTACAGTTAATATCCTTAGTTTTTTTAATTCTCTCTACGACCGTTTTCCTCCAAGTTACAGCTGTTTGAAAATCACCCAAAAATTTTAGATTTTTTTAAAATCCCTTAATTTTTGTGACTAGTATATTTAATTACAGTTTCATTACACAAAACATCACAAATTAAAGGTACAAAAAGATCAAGAATTTTAATACAACCAAATGAGTCACGCACCTTTCCGTCTTGACTTTAAATTTCATCTACAATAATACGGTTGGATAATTCAAAATAAGCGTTATTTCATAGTTTTATGTTACCTGGCCGCGACTGAGGTAACGGTTTCCAGTATATTCCAAAACGATGTCCCGACACGAACTCCTAAACACTTCATCATTTGCGTCGTCGCTATGTTTGCTATACATAACATTATAATGGACAATAAAATTCGGTTATCCAAAAGCTCTGTAGCCAGAACAAAGAAATAAACGCCCACATCGAAAATATCCGCCAATTGTTTATTATACTACCAACTGCTGTTCTGTGAGGTGGACTTGTTACTCATGGTTTTTTGTATAAATTAACTTAACAATCGCCAAAGGCGTTTCTGTCATTTATTTATATACTACATTAAGTCATCTCACAACTAAAACTACGTTTGTGATGGCATTGAAT